CCCGCTACCCGAATTCCACAGGGGTTGGGCCTCCACTATCTCAGAAGACAGCCAGGGCCACGCACTCCAACTCATCCCAATCGCAATCGACGATGCGACTGCCCCCTGGACCTGCACTAGCAGGTCGCCGAACGGGTTAGGAGCACGATCCCTTTCCAGCGCCAGGGCCCTTCCCTGGCTGCGCGCCCTTGCCGTTCCCCACGTCGAGGATGCGGCGAGCCATATCACGGATCGGATCGTCGGGCGTGGGCAGGTCGTGCGCAGCAACATCAGCGGCCCCAGCAGCCGCCGCAGCTGCTGGAGCGCTTGCATCACCTCCAGCTCCTTCGCCAGCACAGTCCGTCGGCTCAGCACGCCGGCGCTTCGCCTTGAGGCGCTCCCGAAGTTCATCTTCGTCACGCTTGGCCTGCTCGGCCTTGGCTTTGAGCTCTCCGAACAGCGCCATCGCCGTCTCCTGGAACCATGCCTCGAGCTCCGTCTCGCGCGCCTTGGCCTGCCTCTTGCCATCCCCTGTGACGTCCACGAACTCTGCCAGCCCAAACAAGTCCTCGCCACACGTGAGCTCCAACTTGCTCGGGTCGCCCGAGATGCTATCAGCAAGATTGAGCACAGCCGTGCTGTGCGGTCTGACCACCTCGTGCAGCTCCGCGGTGGCGTCGCGGTGCTGCTGCTCCTGGACGGCCAGCTGCCCCGTGGTGTGGGAGAGCGCCGCATTCTTATCCCGCAGCTGGCCCTGCATGGCGACGTACTCCTCCGTCTGCAGCTTGACGAGCCCTTCCAAGGTCTTGATCGCCTTGAAACCTGCGTCCGCCCTGTGCTGCGGGGACGGCTTGAGCTCTTTGACAACCAAGAGCTGCTCATAGTAGGACACCATGCTCGGGGAGTGCGACTTCTTGGCCAGCTGCAAGGCCTGCCGCACCTCCTCAACAGACATGTCGGGCGCGGGGTCTGAGGACTGCACCAGGCCAACAGGCATAGGCATACCACCAGCGCCAAGCCCAGGAGGTGCCTCCACGCTGTCGCTGCCCTTGTCCTTCTTGGACTTGCCCGCCCCTGAGTCGGCCACGGGCGGCTTCCCTCACTCTTCCAGTGCGCGTTGCAATGCTTGCACCTGGCTGACTCCCAGGGTGTCTTCGCGCAGCCACACTGCGTGCACTTCCAAAACCTCGCTCCCGCGCCATGAGAAGGGGACATGAAGAGAAAGCGAACCTGGAAGCGCGGTGGCTCGAGAAGGCCTCCCCACCCTGGGCAGGGCTTCTGGTCGAGAAATTGGCCGCGGTCCCTCAACCACCTCGAGCCCCAACCCCAGGGGAGGCGAAGCCCCAGGCAATGGCTTTGAGCCAAATGGCGACGGATCCTCCTCCTCCTCCTCCTCCTCCTCCTCCTCCTCCTCCTCCTCCTCCCTCCTCCTCCTCCTCCTCCTCCTCCTCCTCCTCCTCCTCCTCCTCCTCCTCCTCCTCCTCCTCCTCCTCCTCCTCCCTCCTCCTCCTCCTCCTCCTCCTCCTCCTCCTCCTCCTCCTCCTCCTCCTCCTCCTCCTCCTCCTCCTCCTCCTCCTCCTCCTCCTCCTCCTCCTCCTCCTCCTCCTCCTCCTCCTCCTCCTCCTCCTCCTCCCTCTCCTCCTCCTCCTCCCTCCTCCTCCTCCTCCCCTCCTCCTCCTCCTCCTCCTCCTCCTCCTCCTCCTCCTCCTCCTCCTCCTCCTCCTCCTCCTCCTCCCCCCCCCCTCCTCCTCCTCCTCCTCCTCCTCCTCCTCCTCCTCCTCCTCCTCCTCCTCCTCCTCCTCCTCCTCCTCCCAACATTCAGAAAAGCCCGGGGGCACCCGAGTGGGTCTCCATCCCCGTCACCAAAAGGGACCCCAGGCTTTGGGGTTTTGGTCCCAGCTCACTCGCAGGCCGCCGCCAGGACACAACCTCTTCGAACTCTCTGCCTCCGTGCCTCCCTCGCGCAAGTCCCCGTCCCCGCCTCCTCGCCTCTGCCGTCGCAGCGCCTACGACACAGCTTCGCGGGAAGGGAGCACGAGGCGGCGACGGTGCGACAACAGCGCGACCATCTGGACAACTATGACCCTGCGGCGGTCCCCCTCCGGGCTGGGCCAGGCCAGGCCTCCTCCACCTGCGCAAGCTGCTCACGGTACGTGTCCAGCTTGGTCAGCAGCTCCTCGGCCGACTGGGTGAAGTCCGCCATCGCTCCGCCTCGGTCGGGCGCGCACGCGCGCACGGCCGGCTGTGGAATGCGGTCGGTCGTGTTGAATATGTGGGAGGCCCTCTCAGTTAGCCCCCTTGGGTCTGTCCTCCTCGCCATACTCGAGGCCATCCGAAGCTACTTGAGGGAATCTGGGGCCACATCTGAGAACATCATAGGCCATCTGGCGCCGAACAGTGCAGCAACTGTCGGGACGACAGCGGTCCCCCGCAAGTTCCGCGTGGCGGACTCCAGAACACCTGAACCCGGAATCTGACACCCGCCAGCTTGCCTCCGCGGGCTTCCGCCGGCCCTCGGACCGGCCTCCGCCCAGGACGAGATACTGACCTCTCGACCGCTCGAACGCGAGGCCATGCCTGGGAGCGCCGCACGCGAGGTCAGCATTCGGGGACGAGGGGCGAGGGCAAGCGGGAGGGGAGGGCATGGCCTCTCGCACGCCGCCCCCCACTGGGCTTCGCAGCGCGCCTGTCCGGAGAATCCAGGAGGTCCCCGTGCAGAGGTCACCAGAGGCCCCCGGGAGCCCTCCAGAGGCGCGAAGCGAATTCTCGGGAGACGAACGATGTCTTGAAGACAATGGCTTGGATTCCTTGGATTCCTTGGATCGGTTTTCTTGGATCGGCCTTCTTGGATCGGCGCTGGTTTTTCTTAGATTTCTTGGAGGTCCGCTGGGATTTCTTGGATCGGCGCAGGAGCCCCTGGCGCAGGGAGGAGGGGGTCCAGCGCAGTAATGCTATGGGCACAATGAGGAGCCACAACCACAACCAAGTGGATTTTTCGGGGAGGGGGGGGGGCCTCGGGAGAATACCCACCGACCTCGACACGAGCACTCTGGTTGTGGTTGTGGCCGACCTGGCCGTCCTGGGAGGCCACACCGCCCACAACCGGTATGGAGCTGGTTTCGGTGCTCCGACAGTTTTTGGCATGCGCAAGACATCCCCCGATGTGGTTGTGTCCTCGATGTGGTTGTGGTCGCTCGCTGCCCCCGAAGCCTCCGAACATCTCTCCAGCAACCTCTCCGAGGCCCCCTCAATCGTCGAACTTCGACCCTCGAGGGGGGCCGCCGCGCCTGAAGTGGCGAAGCAGAGCGGGGCCACTCATCTCGGTCCTCAGATATGACTGCTGCCCTCGGTCCCCTCCGACAAAGGGGAGGCCTCACAGCTCCGCCGCGGAAACCTCCAAATACGTCGTCGTCGTCGTCGTCGTCCTCGCCGCCGCCGCCGCCGTCGGTGTCGTCGCCGTCGTCGTCGTCGTCGTCGATGTCGTTGCCGTCGTCGCCGTCGTCGTCGTCGTCGATGTCGTTGCCGCCGTCGTCGTCGTCGTCGTCGTCGCCGTCGTCGTCGTCGTCGTCGTCGTCGTCGTCGTCGTCGTCGTCGTCGTCGTCGTCATTGTCACCGTCGTCGTTCAAGGTCGGCGGCAGTGGCCGTAAGGCCTCTCCAATCCACTCGAGAACATCTGAAAACGTCAAAACATGCAGCACATGTCAGCCAGCGTGGACCCCAAACAGTGATGCATTGCACTGTGGATGTGCAGGCTGTATGACGCGGTCTGCGTGGTGCCAGCTATGTGGTGTAAGCTACATGGCGCAAATTATGTGGTGTAAGCTAGGTGGCGCAACCTCGACGGACCCCCGAAATGGGCGGCAACTAGGCGGCAACGGGCGGCGGCGCGACGCGAAACCTCGACGGACCCCCGAAGTGGGCGGCGACGAGGCGGCGACGGGCGAAACCTCGACGGACCCCCGAAGTGGGTGGCAACGAGGCAAAATCGAGGCGACAACGGGCGGCGACGCTGCGAAACCTCGACGGACCCCCCAAGTGGGCGGCAACGAGGCGGCAACGGGCGGCGGCGCGGCGAAACCTCGACGGACCCCCGAAGTGGGCCGCAATTAGGCAGCACGAGGCGGCAACGGGCGGCGACGAGGCGAAACCTCGAAATACCCCCCAAGAGGGCGGCAGCAAGGAAGCAACAGAGCGGCAACGGGGCGGCAACGGGCGGCGGCGCGGCGAAACACAAAACCCCCAAGGAGGACGGCACCGAGGCGACAATGAGGCGGCAACAGGGCTGCAACGGGCGGCAGCGAAACTCCGACGAACCTCCGAAGTGGGCGGCAACGGGGAAGCAACGAGTCGGCAACGCGGCGAAACTTCGACGGACCCAATAAATTATTGAATGTGGCAAGCATGAACCTCTAACTGCAAGCGCTGTCTGGGGAACATTCAGTACACACCTGAAAGCATTCGAAAGTCCTTCTCGTGACGACCTCCCAAAGGTATGGCAGTTCCGCCGAAGCGACGAACGCTTCCCCCTCTTATTTCCGCACTCCTCGCTCCTCACTCCTCGTTCTTTGTTCCTCGTTCCTGCTCCCCTTCCGTTTCCAAAACTCCTCCTCCTCCTCCTCCTCCTCTTCCTCCTCCTCCTCCTCCTTCGCATCGTCGTCGTCCTCCTCCTCCGCATCAGCATCCCCATCCTTATCATCATCCCCATCCTCATCCTCAGCATCATCACCATCACCATCGCCAACAACAGCAAACTAAACAGCAACAACAACAGCAACAGCAACAGCAACTGCAACAGCAACAACAACAATAACAAACAACACCATCATCAGCAACAACAAAATAATCAGCGCCAGCTCCGTCACTGTCACCATCATCAACATCACCATCACCATCATCATCAACATCACCGTCATCATGATCATCACCATCACCACCACCATCACCATCAGCATCATCATTGTTGTTCCGATTGGGGCACACTCGGAGCTGTCGCGAAATGCGTCGATACTAAAGATCGCATCGTATCCATGCTGAAGAAAAGCATGCGCTGCTCCAGCAGCCCGCGCACTGACGAAGGCAGTCGTGACGCCAGCGGGCCCGCTGGCGGTGGCGGGAGGTGGGATCCACTTGAAACCTGAACGGCCCAACGCACGAGAAACAACCGACGTCACTGTTGTTCTTACTGGGGCACGTTCGGAGCCGTCGCGAAGCGACAGACGATTAACGATTGAATCCTCTTTTCCCTCCATACCCCAGGAGAGCCCGTGCTGCTCCAGCAGCCTTCGCACGGACGAAGACAATGACGACGCCAGCGAGCCGCTGGCCCCCCAGGGCTCAAGCTGACTCCAGGGCGGCGGGGTGGGCCCATCACGTCAAGGTGCGCCGCCAGGCGAAAGCTTTACCCCGTGCAACCAAGCCATCGAGTGCGCTATCCGCAGCAGGGGGCCTGTATTCGACCAAAGCTGAACAACGCAAAAAGCTGAGGGCATCTACGCGTACAAATGTTTGAATTACCTGGCAAATTTCCCAACAACTGATGAGCCTCGAGCTCCTGCACATAGTGATTCAACATTTCGACGCTGGCCCATCGCCCTCTCCACTGCAAACAGTTCATGTCCTCGTCCCATTTCTCGAAGAAGCACGCGGCGCCACCCAGGCGCAGGGACGAGGGCAGCGCGATGGCATCGTTCAGGCCCGTCACGCAGCGCGACGCAGGGCATCAAAGCGTCGAGAGAAGGCCGAACCAGAGCTGCCCCATATCACGTCGGAGCCCGTGCGCCTCGCGGCACACGTCGCCAAGAAAGCGACTGCACTGGGCTTGTCGAGACGCGCGCGTTGTCGGCGCGCGCGTCGCCCGTGCGTCTTCGCCCGGCGTGATCTTCGCCCGGGCGAATATCACCTCGCCTCCCAAGCGCGCACGCGGCTGGGCGAAGTCGCCCCGGGCGAGCCCCAAGCATTCGCGCGGCGGCAACAACGCGTAGGAGCCGCTCAAGAACAATCTGGCAATTTGCCACCGCCGCCACCAAGACAGCGCTGAAAGCACCATCGCACGCAGCGGCCTCTGCGCGCGCGGGGGCGCGAGGCCGGCAGCCCCAGGGCCAGCCCACGCCGCAAGCCTGCAGCGCGAACTCGTCGACCCAAGCGGAGGGGGCGCCGCGGCGCCAAGTCGCGCGGCGCCCAGCCCGGCAGGCCCAGCGCGCCCAGGCCGCGAAGCGCTCTGGCAGCTCCGCCCGTCGCGCCGAGATCTTGCCCCGCCCCGGGTCGCGCCGCTCGCGAATGCGCGGCGCCGAGGGCCGAGCTGCCCACCCCGGCCCGGCGCCGCCGGCGCCGAGGCCCGGGCAAGCCAGCAGACCCCAGCGGGCCAGGGCCCGCGCGGCGCAGCTGCAGCCATCCAGGCCGCTGCGCGCCGCCTCTGGGCCGCTCGCCAGGAGAAGCGCCAGCCGCCGCGGCCCCGGCCCGAGCGAGGGGCGGGCGCCCCCCGCCTGCGAGATATCATATGTGCGGACGCTCCTGGCGGACGCGCGCATGAACTGCGGGTGCTCTCCGCCCTCGAGTCTAGACTCGGAGATGCGCCGCGGCCCTCGGCCCCAGCCCCCAAACGCACCTTCGAGCCCATGCAGATCACTGGTCTGCCGTTGGCTAGGAGGCGCTTCGCGGGGCTTCGACGCACCTGGCTTTCCAAACATCGACCCAACATGGGCTTCCACGATAGGCGTTCTGACAGGCGGGCCGCCCGCAGGTGGGGCGCGCGGCGCCTCGAGGCCGCCGGTCGATGCCCCTGGGCCTGGCTCGGACATGCGTCGCGGCTGTCTCGTTCCAACCGCGCCAACTTGGCCATGGCGCGGCAGGAGGACTCATTCTGGCAGGAGGCCCGCGTCGCGTAGCTCCCGAGGAGGGAGACGCGCCGGGCGCCCGCGGGGCACTTGCAACGCTGGCCGAACGCGGGGGGCAGGGAGGCATCGCGGAGCAAGGCCAACGACACAACGACATCAATCGAAGACAATACGCGGCGAATCCAAGCATTCCAACAGCTGCCACGTCGGGAAGAACCGCGCCCCGCGCCGGCTGCCCCCGGCATGCAACCCACCGACCGAGACCTGCAGCGCAGCCAGGAACATGCTCTGGAGCGAGTGGCCGTTGCCTTCCAGGGTCTGAAATTCCCGCGCGTCGTAGCCCCGCGGGGCTGCACTGCCCCGCGGGCGCAGGCGCCTCGCCGGGCCCGCAGTCGCGCGCGGCGGCCCACGCCCCAACATTCTTGCGAGTGATCAGGAACACTGGCCATGCAAATATGCTCCGATGTAAATCCCAGCCCCCCTCCAGCGCTAAGATCGGGGCCACCGCGAACCGTCTCGAACCCAGGCGCGACCGAGGCCCCCCCCCCCCCCACACCGCGCATCTCGAGAAACCCGATGGTCAAACGGAAGCGGCCCCACGGAGGTCGAGGGAGACTCGCGACAGTCTGGTCGGCACGCTGAGCAAAGTCAGCTCTTTTTCCGTCGGAACTCGATCGGCGCGCCATCTGCCTCCAACTCGGAGTCGCCGCTCAGATCTACATCCTCGCCCCGCCTCCGGGCGGCTGCCGGGGCGCGGCAGGCTTGTCGCGAAACCCGCGCGGCCGCAGCGCCTCCACAACGCTGCCGCGGCCCGCTCAAGGGGCCGAGCTCGGCGCGCCCCGGCCGCCGAGGGGGGGGCGCCACGCTCATAAGAAACCCAGGGTATGTGTATGTGTGTATGTGTGTATGTGTGTATGTGTGTATGTGTGTATGTGTGTATGTGTGTATATCGGAGGTTGGGGGTGAGATCGCAGTGGAACGGAGACCTCCAACCGGGAAATCGGTTCGTTTCGTTCGTGTCGTGCGTGCGGGCGAGGCGAAGCTGCGTGGGCGCGCGAGAGGAATGAACCCGCCGTTGCTATGGCGAAGTCAAGGCACATGTTGCTCCCCTGTCCGTCCGTCCGTCAGTCCGTCCGGCGGTAGCCCTAGCGGTGTCCCGCGGTGTCCCGCGGTGTCCCGTGGTGTCCCGTGGTGTCCGCCGTTGCTAGGGCGAAGTCAAGACAAATGTTGCTCCCCTGTCCGTCCGTCCGGCGGTGGCTCGCGGTGTCCCGCGGTGTCCCGTAGTGTCCCGTGGTGTCCCGTGGTATCCGCCGCTGCTAGTGCGAAGTCAAGACGCATGATTCTCCCCCGCCCGCCCGTCCGTCCGTCCGTCTGGCGGTGGCTCGCGGTGTCCCGCGGTGTCCCGCGGTGTCCCGTAGTGTCCCGTGGTGTCCCGTGGTATCCGCCGTTGCTAGTGCGAAGTCAAGACGCATGATTCTCCCCCGCCCGCCCGTCCGTCCGTCCGTCTGGCGGTGGCTCGCGGTGTCCCGCGGTGTCCCGTTGAGTGAGATCGATAGTTAGATCGATAGTGAGATCGATAGTGAGATCGATAGTGAGATCGATGTGGTGCCCCGAGTTGTCCCGTGGTGTCCCAAAAAGTGAAATCGATAGTGAGATCGATAATGAGATCGACAGGTGTCCCGTGGTGTCCGCTGGTGTCCCGTTGAGTGAGATCGATAGTGAGATCGATATTGAGATCGATAGTGAGAACGATGCGGTGCCCCGAAGTGTCCCGTGGTGTCCGCTGGTGTCCCAAAAAGTGAGATCGATAGTGAGATCGATAGTGAGATCGATAGAGAGATCGATGCGGTGTCCCGAGATGTCCCGAGGTGTCCCGTGGTGTCCCGTGGTGTCCCGTTGAGTGAGATCGATAGTGAGATCGATAGTGAGACCGATAGTGAGATCGAGAGGTGTCCGGCGGTGTCCCGTGGTGTTCCCTGGTGTCCCCTTGAATGAGACCGATAGTGAGATCGATAGTGAGATCGGCAAGTGTCCCGTGGTGTCTCGTGGTGCCCCGTAATGTCCCGTTGAGTGAGATCGATAGTGAGATCGATTGAGTCAGATGTTGGTTCCCCCCCCTCTCCCCCCCCCACAACCTCCTTATCACCCGAAGGGTGGTCGTATAGGTATGTGTATATATATATATATGTGTGTATATATAGACCTATACGACCAGCATTCGGGTCATAAGGAGGTTGGGGGGAGGGGAAAGAACCCATGCTGGCAACTGCGATGGGTGTGATGATGACGATGCTGGTGGCGCGCCCTCGAGTTAGCGACGACGCGTGATGACGAGGCTGCACCGCGATGTGATGTCACTATCGACCCCGCTATCGATCCCACTATCGATCGGAACACCATCGGGACACCACGGCGGGACACCACGGGACACCGCGGGACACCACTGGAACACTGCGGGACACCACGGGACACCACGAGACATCATCGGGACACTACGGCGGGATACCGCGGGACACCATCGGGACAACGCGGGACACCGTGGCGGGACAACGCCCCAGCCACCGCGCGCCCACCAGAGGCCCGGACTTTTGCATCCGAATCGCCCTAACGATGGCGGGATCACTCCTGCGAAACACCACGGCGGGACGCCCCCAGCCACTGCGCGCCCACCGGAGGGCCAGACTTCTGCATCCGAATCGCCCTAGCGACGGCGGGAACATTCCTCTCGGGCGCTTGCACAGCTTCGCCTCGCCCGCACGCACGACACAAACACGAAACCGCAACCGACCTCCCTACGGAGGGTTCTCCGTTCCACTACGATCTCACCCCCCAACCGCCAATGTATCCTTATCAATGTTTAATGTTTTCATTCGTGACCCCAACATTGAAAATTACGTCACTCCAGACTTGATAATTTCAAGTTTAAGATATTCGAGTTATAAGTTTTCAATTCGACGGTGTGTAGCTTCAAAGTCTGTACCACTTCTTTTCCATGCTCCATTCCACGCGGCGGACCCGAATCATTCTCCTGCGAGCCCACCCGAACCTCCATCCTCGAGAGCAGGAAGCACGGCAGCCCCGCCGCGGGCGCGAGCGAGGCGTCGGCGGCTCCCGCGGTGCGCGCGGCGCGGCACCCGGCGCGCGGGGGCAGCGGGGGCGGCCGGCGCGGCAGCGAGGCCGGCGCGGCTGCGTCCGCGCCGCTCGCGCGCGCAGGGCTACCGTCGCCGCCGCCGCCGTCGCCGCCGCCGCTGCCGCCGCCGCCGCCGCCGTCGTCGCCGTCGGGGCCGTCGTTGGGCAGGAAGGGGAGGGGAGAGGGGAGGGTATGGGAGGGGAGGGGAGGGTCGGGGTGGGGATGGAGGGGAGGGGAGGGGGGAGGGCCCGACGAGCCCCGGTGGCCCTTGTACGAACACCGACGACCGCGACCACAGCACGACGTCCCCGACGGCCACGCCGACCACGACTGCCGACGACGTGACTACCGACCCCGTCGCCCGACACCCTGCCTCGCATCCCCTCCCTGGCCGCCAGTGCCATCTCCCTCTCCGAGTTCTTCCTCCTCCTTCTCTCCTCCTGCTCATCCACAAGTGGGGGCCCTCGCAAAGGAAGGCGACCTAGCTTGCCAGAATGAAGGGGCCGAACGGTATTGCACAATCCCTGGGTGAGTGGGTGAAGCGGGATTCCGTGGCCCAAATTGTGGCTGTTCCTTGTTCGTCGTTGATGTCGTCCCCCCCCCCCGCGAATCACCCGCGATCCACCCGCGACCTACCCCGCGACACACCCCGCGACCCACCAGCGACTCACTCCGCGCACGCCCACGCACTCTTGACCGCAATTGCGGGGCGCTCCGCACTTCCTTGGTCGCTTGCACAGAAGGAGGGTGACCAGGAGAAGGAGGCAGGGGGTACGAGCGAGGAGACACAGTCGGACAACGAGAGACAAAGTCGGAGCAACCCCCAACCCCCAGAGTCTGGGGGCGCCCCAGAGTCTGAACAGCACCTTTTTCAGATCGTTTGCGTAGATAATTCACCACTTCGCGTAACTGGCTTGCTGTGGACGGCGCAGCCATCAGGGGCCGCAGCAGAAAGCAGGCGTGGAGGCGCACGAAGGCCAACCCCCGAATCCTTGCGCAGGACCCTTTTGAGGGGTGGGTCCTGGGGGAAAACCCACCCCTCCCCCTACCCCTCCAGCAAAATTATCCCAGTGCGACCCTACCTAGGAGTTGGAGCCCCTAGGAAAGCAGCATTAGTAGTAACAGTAAAGCTAAGCTAAAGCTAAGCTAAAGCTAAGCTAAAGCTAAGCTAAAGCTAAGCTAAAGCTAAGCTGAAGCTAAGCTAAAGCTAGGCTAAAAGCTAAGCTAAGGCTAAGCTAACACTAAGCTAAAGCTAAGCTAAAGCTAAGCTGAAGCTAAGCTAAAGCTAAGCTAAAGCTAAGCTAAAGCTAAGCTAAAGCTAAGCTAAAGCTAAGCTAAAGCTAGCTAAGCTAAGCTAAAGCTAAGCTAAAGCTAAGCTAAAGCTAAGCTAGCTAAGCTAAAGCTAAGCTAAAGCTAAGCTAAAGCTAAGCTAAAGCTAAGCTAAGCTAAGCTAAGCTAAAGCTAAGCTAAAGCTAAGCTAAAGCTAAGCTAAAGCTAAGCTAAGCTAAAAGCTAAGCTAAAGCTAAGAAGCTAAGCTAAAGCTAAGCTAAAGCTAAGCTAAAGCTAAGCTAAAGCTAAGCTAAAGCTAAGCTAAAGCTAAGCCAATGCTAAGCTAGCACTAAGCTAAAGCTAAGCTAAAGCTAAGCTAAAGCTAAGCTAAAGCTAAGCTAAAGCTAAGCTAACACTAAGCTGAAGCTAAGCTAAAGCTAAGCTAAAGCTAAGCTACAGCTAAGCTAAAGCTGAGCTAAATCTAAGCTAAAGCTAAGCTAACACTAAGCTGAAGCTAAGCTAAAGCTAAGCTAAAGCTAAGCTAAAGCTAAGCTAAAGCTAAGCTAAAGCTAAGTTAACACTAAGCTAAATGTAAGCTAAAGCTAAGCTAAAGCTAAAGCTAAAGCTAAAGCTAAGCTAAAACTAAAGCTAAGGCTAAAGCTCCCAGGGGACTGGGGGAACCGCGGGGCGGGGACTGGGGGAACCGCCCGGGGCGGTTAGCACTGCCCGGCCCTTTTCAGCAAAGAGAGTAAGAACCCTTCTAGGCAGAGCCTAGGGAGGGAAAAACGGTGGGGCCCTGGGGGGGAAACCCGCCCCCCCCCTAGCCCCCCCCCAACAAAAAGCCCCCCTTGATGGGGGGGATCCTGGCAGACCCCCCCCCCCCGTGGACCCAGAATATGGTTCTGTGTAACGAAGCTGTTTTCTTACGCTTTTTTATTGCAGCCAATGCGGATATGCGACGATTGTGAAATTGAGACCTCTTTCGGGTGCTAAACGACCAGACAAGAACACACGCATCTAATGTGTGAAGGTGCTGTGGTACCTAAGCTAAGATGGCCACGGAGGGAGGGGTGGAGGCTGTATCTCCGTGCCCTGGAACGTGAGATTAGGTTGCAAGTTTAGTATCACCTGGGTGTTCTTGGACCTGGGATGTGTTGCACCTCGACCTTGCGATCTTGCAACTGTTCAACGCGAGTTCCTCAATCCCTCCCTCCCTCCTCATCCCATGAAAATACACATGCTCATTGACTCTTCGATTGCATTCCTGCTGGAGGAGGAGGAGGAGCAGCAGCAGCAGCAGCAGCAGCAGGAGGGAGGTGGAAGGATGGAGGGAGAGGGATTGACATACCTTTCCCTCGCGTTCGCATTGCATTCGCATTGTATCTATATTGGAGGAAGGGGATTGAGGACGGGAAGGGGAGGGGCAATCCCGATTGCATTCGTATTGGATGAAAGCGGAAGGAAGAAGGGAGGCAGGGAGGGGAGGGGAGGAGAGAAGAGGGGCGGAGAGAGGGGGGAGGGGGACCCCGATGTGCAGCGACTGGCTATGCCTCGCACTTTCCCCGCACAACACAGAGTGGACAGTGGAAGGGAACAACGGTTGTCCCTTACACACTCCGCGCACAACGCAGAGGAAGAAATGGGGGGAGTGGTCGTTCTGTTCTTGTTTGTTTGTTTTGTTCTTTCTCTCTCTCTCGCTCTCTCTCTCTCTCTCTCTCTCTCTCTCCCCCCTGTTTCTCTCTATCTATATATTTCTTCATTTCGTTCTCTCTCTCTCTCTCTCTCTCCCTCTCCCCCCCCTCTCTCTCTACAAACAAATCCCTCCCTCTCTCTCTCTATTCCTCTCTCCCTCCCCCTCTCTCTCTCTCTTTCTTTCTCTCTCTCTCTCTCTCTCTCTCTCTCTCTCATTCCATACACGCAACGCTATCCCTCAGTCCGCACACCCAGTCGGATGGGGGGAAACTTGTGAGGGGCAATGATTGCTCCCCCTCTATCCCTGTCTTTCTCTCTCTTTCTCTCTCTCCCTCCCTCTCTCGCTCTCTCTCTCTCTCTCTCTCTCTCTTTCTCTCTCTCTCTCTCTCTCTCTCTCTCTCTCTCTCTCTCTCTTTTCTCTCTCTATATTTCCCTCTCCCTGTCTCTCAATCTCTCTCCCTCTCATTATTTTTCCCGCCCCCCCCCCCGTCCTTCTCTCTCTCTCTCTCTCTCTCTCTTTCTCTCTTTCTGACGTTCGCTCGCCCTGGCCACGCGCAGCGCCAGAGTTAGCAATGGGAGGAAACATCGGTTGCCCCTCCCACCCTCGGGGAAGTAGGAGGCGGAGGGGTCTCTCTCTCTCTCTCTCTCTCTCTCTCTCTATCTCTCCAGCTCGCTTTCTCCCTCTCTCCCTCGTTCCCTCTCTCTCTCTCTCTATATATCCCTGTTTTTCTCTCTCTCTCTCTCTCTCTCTATCTCTCCCGCGCGCTTTGTCCATCGCTCTCTCTCTCTCTCTCTCTCTCTCTCCCTCTCTCTCTCTCTCCATCCCTGTTCCCTTTCTCTCCCCTCATTCGTTGTCTCAGATGTGCGCTCTCTCTCTCTCTCTCTCTCTCTCTCTCTCTCTCTCTCTCTCTCCCTCGCACGTCATCGGCGCGAGCACGCCCCGTCGAGCGCGGCGGGCGCGCGCAGCCCGACCACGCAGGGGCGCGGCGCCTCGCGCGCCGTGCCCGAGCACCAGGGCGGCCCGCCCCAGCAGGCCGCAGGCGGCCGCGCGCGGGCGCGCAGCCGAGAAGGCCCCAGGCCGCAGCCAGCAGTGAGCCCGCGAGCCGCACCTGGGAGGCGGCCGCGCGCGGGGCGCGCGGCCGACGGGGGCCCGCGCGGCCAGCAAGCGGGGCCCGCCAGCAGCGTGGGCAGCGGCGCCCTGGGGCCGCGCGGCGGCGCGGCCGCCAGCCAGCAGGGCTGCCAGCGGGCGGCGCCGCACCAGGCGCAGCTCCCTCGCGCTAGCGGCTTGCCCGTGTAGGGGTCCTTGGCGCTGAGCAGCCTCGTCAGGCACTGCCCTTTCTTCTTCTGGCCCGCCGTGGCCTGAGGTCCAGGCGGCAGTCGGCCCGTGCAGCCAGCTTTGAGGCCCTTGGCGCGGTCCGCACCTTCGATCCCGGCGAAGGCGCCGCACTTGCAGCAGAAAGCATAGCCGCCAGCGGTGCGCAAGGCGTGGCCCAGCTGCGCCTCTGGCTTGGCATCCTCGCCCCGCGGCTGCCTGCCTGGGGCCCCTCGCTGCGGGCTCCTGGACCTCGCGCTGGCGCCTGCCCCGTCGCTGCCCCAGCGCCGCTGCTGGCCAGGCCAAGCCCCGCTGCCACCGCTGCCGCCAGGGCGCAAGCTGCTGCGAGCGGGAGGCCGCCAGGCCCGCGCCTCTCCGCAACACTCCCGTCCGCTTCGTCCGCCGCGCCGTCGGGCTCCCAGGGCGCTGGGCCAGCGGCCACCCCGTCGCCGCCCGCGTCCCCCGTGTCCACCAGGTGCTGCGGCGGAATACCATGGATGGCCGCCTCCACGGTGGGGTCGCCGCCCAGGCCGGGGCCCTCGCTGGAGTCTGAGCCATGCGGCGCCGTCTCGACCTGCCAGCGCCTGCGGTTGCCAACCCCCAGCCCTGGCGGCTGTCCGCCAGACCCCGCAGCGGCCGCCAGCGGCGGCGGGGGCAGGCCTGACGAGGCTGCACCAGGGTGCGGAACAACGTCGTCGTCGTCGCTGGCGTCGAGGCCCCGCTGCTGCGGCAACGGGAACTGCGGGTTGCGCCACGGCTGCCGCACTGCCAGGTAGCCGCCCAGC